TAGAGACAAAACAAGAAAACGTCAAAGAAAATTTCATATAAATCAGCTAATTGCCAGTATCATAAAAAGAAAGAAGGAATTTTTTTTATGCCTACAATTTGAAACCAACTCGTTCCTTTTGTTCAACAGATTTCCCCCTGTATGCGTTAAAGTATAATACTTTTCATTAAGACAAAGGTTGCAAATTTTTGACTAAGGAGATCTTTGGCAGCGCTTGATAATTTTCCACTTAGTAACAAACGAAAAGTTTTCTTCTTTAAGTTTCCAAATTTCTTTAGATAATTCCGTATCATTGCTGTACTTAAATAAATTAAAAGATTTTAAATGGTTTGCATACCTTAACTTGAAAGGGGTCTCGCTAATACCAATACAAACTTTTTCTGTGTAATCTGGTTTATTGGATAAACAATGACACACAATGTTCTTACTTAGACGCTAGTTGTTCATAATGCAGGTAGATTTATTGATGCAGTTGCAGGTTTTTGTTGCTGTTTTTTTATGATTGTATAAAATATTTTGATTATGCGAATTAATGACTGATTTAATGTTCGGTATACACGAGTAGCTAATTTTAATGTTGTTTCTGTTAAAAATCTTGTGTAATAAATGACCAACAGGATAGGTTGCATTAATTATTTTTAAAAAAAGATTACCTATTTATTGCAACATTTCTACTATATGGGGGATTATACCAAATAATGTTCCGTTTGTGATTTTTGTTTTGAATGGGTACTATATTTGACTGATATTTAAGCTTGGATGAGAAAGCTGATTATATTAATACATCATGATAAGGAGAAGCAGCTTTTTTTTTTAAATTTCGTTGTTTGAAGATGCAGTAGACAATCTTAGTTCAATTGTTCGCGGTAGACTTTTTAATATGCACAGAGGGTGGTTAGAGTCGGCGTGTATTTAATTAAGAGTGTTATCGGGCTTTGAGTGTGGTTGGAAGGTACTGTTGTTAAGATTTAGTGTTAAGTCAAGGTAATTGACAGTTTTAACATTACAGCTGATAGATAAATGGAGATCATTGCTTTTAAAAATATTAACAAAATACTTCTTTATTTTTTCCATTTGTTGGCCACTACGATTTTTAAATAAAGCTAGACCGTCATCCCGGTATAAACCTAATTCCTTCCCGTTTTAATTTTGAGATAGTTAGTGCACTAATTCCACTAATTCGCATACTTCTGCATCATCATAAGCACCCATAGTTACATCAATATAATTCTCCGTTTTTTTTAATCCAAGAATCGCCATTAAAGATTTTCTCGCGTGTATAATAAATTTCCGATCTTCTTGATTTATAATTAGGTGCTGACCAATTGCGTCGCTAAGTAGTTTTACATTAACCGATGGGTAAAAGTCAGTTACATCAAAAACTAAAAATGTGTTAAGGTGTTTTTCATTAATACCTTGAAACCAATGTAAAACATCTTGCGAGCTTTGCCATTGGTTTAAGCAGAGCTTTTTTCTCAATGTAGCATTGATTTTTGAGATTACAATTTTGGAAATACGTTCAACTACGTTTTTTGCTGGGTTTAACAGGCGGATGGTGGGATTATTTAAAAAGTTTACTTTGTGGCTTTTGAGAGTGATGAAGCAATTAGAAGTACCATTTAACTCAATTTTGTTGAACACATCGTGGTTGGTTAAAGCTTCTTTACTTTTTTTCTTTATTTTATGGTTTAGATTATGTTCAGTTTTTTTGTACGAGGATGTTATTGCGTTTATTAGAAGGTGGTTGTATTTATCTTTAGATACTCTGTATATATTAGTTGATTTGTCGGCTTGGATTAATGTCATGGGCGATACGCGAAGAGATCATATCCTTTATTATTATATCCTTTGATATTCTTGAAATGAGTTGCGAATTTTATATTTTTTACGAGATTTAATAAATTTTTTTAAATAATGACATTTCTTTAATAGTTGGTTTGCAGATTTTATACCATAATTTATAAATTGAGACGATTTTTTGTTATTAGAAAGTTTGTTTATGAAAAATAAAGCATTCCACCTCATTCTTTTTATGAGAACCTCAGTTTTCTGCATTAACTGTATTAAAAATTCTTTTTCCGATGGAATTGGAATATTTTTGGTAGAGTAGTTGAAGTTAATTTTCTTTCTAAGTTGTTTACTTTCTTTATTATTGAGCACTCTTAACGGAAATTAACGGAAGAGTTTTGTATTATTATTGTAATACACATTAAACATCAATCGTTATATATATATATATATATATACACATACATACATATATATACACATACATACATATATATATACACATACATATATATATATATATATATATATATATATATATATATATATATATATATATATATATATATATATATATATATATATATATATAGTATAATATATTATTTTATGTTTGATCGTTCATATTTTGCAGACAAGCAATAATGTTTTGAGTTTTTATTTTTAATAAAATACAGAAAGAGAGAGTATTAAAAGAAAAACATTGCAAAGAGAATTAACAGTTACGCAAGCAAACAGCTACTATACCAAAAACGATATACAAATTACTTAACTACAATTATAAGCTTAAACTATATTAACTTTTTTTTTTTTTTGACGATCCTAAAATCCCGGGAAATTTTGGAGACTAATCCCGGGATTGCGATCTCTAACAACAACAAAAACGATTTTATCAGCCAAAGTTAAAAAGTTCTTTTTATAAATTCAAATAGTTGGTAGTATAACTTAAAAGGTTTAAATTTTTTTTTTTTCTTTTTGGTAACACGTTAATATTTTTATTTTTTTTAATACAATGAGATTTAAAAAACAAACAAACAAACAACCGATAACGCATAAGAGACGCATAAGTGCTGCTTCTTTTATATTATACATATATTTCAGTTTTAAGGTTATTTATATCATACATATATTTCTATTTTTGGCTAATTTTCAGTAAATAAAAAATTTATTTTAGTATAAATGAGATGATCGAACACTGTGAATAAAGAATTATTAATACTTTATTAATAATTCCTGATTAAACGAAATCTTACACAGATTCTAACTTTAAACTTTTTTTTTTAAAAAAGCAAAACACTTTTCGCAATATTAAGCAAAAAAATAACAAAGATCTCATTTTAATAATACACAAACTCCGTAAATTAAATAGATAAAAATTTTCAACTAAAAATATTAGCATGCAACTTGCATTCTACATATATAAATATATATCTAAGTACAAAAAAATGTTTATTATAAACCAACAAGTTCGGACTCACTTAAAAACAGCAAACCGGAGAACTTTAAAAAAATAGACTAAGAACAGATTGAGAACATATTATACTAATTCCAAGTACTTCTTTTCTTTTTCTTTTTATATATTCTAAAGTTTCATTTAAAAAATAAAATAAGCAGTTTTTAAAAAATTATATTTAGAGTTAAAAAAAAAAAGTTGCAAAAAAATTATATTATTAAATTTTTAACTTATGTTACTACTAAAGAAAATAGTTGTTATTTTATTTATAATTTATTGAATTAGTATTTCAAAAAACTCCTTTGATATGATGCAGTAATCAAAACCATTGTGTGTTTTCTATTCAACATGTTATACCATTTTAAAAATAACCTTAGAGAATTGATCCTTCTCACCAAATAACTTTTTGAAAATTCCTGAAAACCACTTTATTAAACTTTTGTAATCATGAACTCTTTCGAAAGAAAGGGTGACTAGCGACTTCATTTATCATGTTAAAAAAAATAATATGTTACTCATGCTGTTAAATCCACAGCTCTATTAAAACAGATATGTAGGAGCCAAAAAACATAAACGATTTTTCATTTGAAGATTTGTAGAAGAAAAACTAGTAAACTATCATAATTAAAAATAACTTATCCTCGGGTATAAAATAACAATATAAAGAGAAAATTATAAAACCATTCTTATTTCCTTTGAAGCAGCTGTAATAAATTTAAACATAAAAAAAAAAAAAAAAAAAAAAAAAAAACATTACTATGTATAATAATTATATTATAAACCTACTTAGTTTGTATCATAAAACTGTTTTCTTTTCTATAAGGTAAAATTGTAAACTTTAAAGATAGCGTTTTTTTCTGCAAGTTCCACAAACACAAAATGCTTTCGAAGCTCGCATTCTCTACTTTATACCTTTCAAAATGGAGCTTTTAAGATCAACACAACATCTTCGACTATTAAAAAAAAGGATCCTACTTGTACATTTTTGTTATAATTTACAATTGCAATTCGTTGGCTATCTTCGAAGCAATATTTTTAAATGCGATTGAAGATCCTGATATACGTTTAAAACGAACTCCATTTAATGAAAGTCTAGGTAATTTACAAACTTCCATCTCCCAATGAACTAACGAACTCTCGTACGGATCACCGTGGATACAAAATAATAAAAACTTCTCACGTTGCTGATAATCACAAGCATTGAGATCTAACACACGTTTTATTTCATTGATCATATCTGATGGTTCCATGCTACTAGTTGTTTTCATGCTCCATGTGAATCTAAGAGAGCGCGGCTTCCCAGTAGGAACCGATTCTTCGCCAAGAGAATGACTAAATATAAATAAATTTTAAACAATTTTTAAATATTTTTACAATGAACTACATTTCAAAGATAATAATTGCTCAACATTACGATTTTGTTACCCATAGAGTTTATTACCACATGACTTATTTAATTTAATAAAATGTGTAATCGTAATTAAAGTAACCGCTGCAAATTCATTTATTTACAAGAACAAAATTTATAGAATGGAGTTTGTTAAACTATTTAAACCTCCTGAACATTTTCTTTCTATTATTAATTTTTCTAATATAACATTAAAAAGAAACTTGTCTACGTTTAAAAAAACAAAGTTTTCTACCTTCCAATGCGTTATTTTCTAAATACTAATGTTTAAAATTTTCTAAAAATGTTTTCCTAATTTATCTAAAATGTTCTTTCTATATTGAAATGTTTTTAAAAATAAAGAAAAATACCTTTTCTGTTAATGTTGCCTTTTTTACTACAGAAATTTATAATACATCTTTAAAACATCTTAGCACAAAAATAACACTCAATAAATCTGTACACCCAATAGAGGATATATGATGACAAGTCTGTAGAATTTAATAAAAATTCTTTAGCGATACAAAAGCATTAGTACAAAATAATGCGCGCAACTAATGAAAATAGCATTTTAAATAAAAATAAAAAAAAGAGAAAGTAAAGCAAGTGCATGAATAAAAAAAAAAAAACTGAACCCCCTGGAATGCCTAAGTCACATTGATTTAAAAATATCTCCAACATAAATTTCATTCCATTAATACAGAGTAAACTTAAATAAAAAGTTATACATTATATACATAATATAAAATAAAAAAGGTTTTTATACAGCAATTGTGACATCTCTAATAAATACGAACTTATTGTAAGAAATAGAATTTAAGGAACCAGCTGATAATTTTTGCAGAATGCTTTCGTTGAAAATATTTATAATAAAAAGATTTTAAAATAGACTAGTCATTAAAAAAAAAAAAAAAAATTTAAAACACATAGAGGACTTTGCATTCTTTGATGAAAAGTGAGCACCGATAATCCTATAAGTTCATGTCGCTAGTTATTTTCGATGCTATATTTTGAAACTCAATAGCTGGACCATGAATGCGTTTTAAGCGCACACCATTAAGATGAAGCCTGGGCAGTTTACATACTTCCATTTCCCATTGCACAAGAGCATTATTGGCATGTGGACTACGGTGATTACAATATAATAAATATTTATCACGAGTTTCATATTCACACATGTTAAGGTCTAAAACTCGTTTGATCTCTGTTATACAATCCTCAGCATTCATATTACTAGTAGTTTTCATACTCCATGTAAACCTAAGGGTGCGTGGTTTTGGTTTATCTGTAGATTGGGTAGATTCATCATTTTTTGGTGGAGAATCTGTAGGGCTTGACGGCCTAAAAGAAAATACAAAATAAAAAAAGAAAAAAACGGAATTAAATCAAATAATAAACTTAATATTTAAATGTTATCGAGAAAAGCTTGGTAATATCATAAATATCTCCATAGCAAATTGTATTTGTTATTATTGAAAGCAGTCTGATACATTTGCATAAGTTCTTCAAAGCAAATTGTATTTGTTATATACTACTATTATAGGTGATTCTACATAGTGAAATGTATCTATAATGGTAAAATGTATTGTTTAGAGAAAATAATGTATTTTAAAATTCTATATAAAAAGTTAAAACAGTAAATAAACTTTTTTCAGGAAACCATAATTTGTTCAACTACAAGTATTTTAAAATAATAATACTATGTTAATGCTGTGTACTTAAAAAAAATTTTACTGCTTAAACAAGTATGATAAAAGTATTTTTTTATCAGCTGATTTCTCAATTCAATACTAAAATTTCATGAGAAAATTAACAACATTCTTTGCATATAAATGAAATGTACACAAATTTTTTTTTACATCTCTTATCTTCTAGTGTATGATATCAGTTAATTCAAAAGAAAAACACTAAAGTATATTTTTTTGGTTAAAGTTTTATTTTTGTTTCCTATTTTCTGATGAATTAGGAAACGCATTATTTATTAGGTTGATAAAAGTAAACAAGTTTTTAAATAGAAAACGGTAATAATGGATTAACAAATAAGTTTTTAATGAAAAATAGTACCAAGCTCTTTGAATAACATTTAAAGTTTAATCTTCTGTGATCAAATTATAATTCAGAAAGCTTAACAACAAACACTAAACTCACAAATTAAAAAAAAATTAACAAAAACAAATAAGTATAAAAGAAGAAAAAGAACAATTCTATGCGCATCTTTTTTTCATCATTTCGCTTATTTTAATAAATTTGGACAATCAAAATAAAGTATGAAGCTGACATTTTTAATATTATTGTTAACTGTTAATAGTTATTTTAAAAAACTTTAAATTTAGAAGGTTAAAAATGAGTTTAAATTTGTTTAAAAAAAAAATTTAAAAGAAAGTCTTAAAAAGGGGATTAAAAATAAACTTTTTTATAATTCAAAAAAATAACTTTTTTATAATTCAAAAATAAATAAAAATTTACTTACAAAAAATGATGTTTGTAGTCTTTTAAATAGTTGAACCTAAAATGGGAAGAGAGATTTTCGATAAAATTAAAGTTATATAAAGTTTAAAGAGTTAATGTTTGTTAAAATTATGTTATGTTTAAAAGCAATTGAAAATTTTTTAAACAAACTCTCTCAACCCAAAATTAAGCTTATTTGGTAAAACTAAAATGCCAGACGTGTGAACTTATAATAATGAATCGTCTGTATAGCAAGATTCTTAATAAAAAAAAATTAAATATCAATAATTTTTTAATATATACATATATTTTTTGCTTATCCATTAATTCCATTTTATTTAGTAAAATACATTTCATTATTTATAGCGTTTACTTAAATACAAAGTTTAAATCTAATTTATAAAGTATAGAAAAATATGATGTAAAGAGAACAAACCATTTAATTGTGATAAGTTTTAGTTTATTATGCAAATTAAATATTTTTATATTTATTATTTTAAAATGTTTTAAGTTTAAAAAAACACTAAATCTTCTGGGAGTAAAGAAATCTTCTGTTTAAAAGTTTTAAATCAACCAGGTAAAAACTGTATATATGGTCACACGTCTGGCAAATAAAAATTATGCACTTAAGTAACTCACCAAATATTTACATCTTGCCAGATCCAATATCTTTAGAGTTCCATTAATTGCCAAAAAATAAAATAAAAATGATGAAAAAGAGAGCGCATAGTTGCAAAAGTATTGAGCCAGACGAGACACTTACCGTCGTCGCCTGAATTTGCTGAATAAATTTGCACGCGACAGTCTAAGACCGAAAAAAAGAAAACTTTCAAGAAGCATGAAAAAGATAAATAGTTATAAATTATTTATGCTTTTAAAAACTAGAAAAAGAGAAACACAATTAAATTGTTAACTAAAATAGTTCAACATAATCATCAATTTTGAATGCAAAAAGTTCGATTATTTTCAAATGTTGTAAAAGAGAATAACAAAAAACAATTAGCTTATTACAACATTTTATTTATATTCAAATATAATCTTTTTATTGTTATATCAAATACAACCCATTTTTATTTGCTGATAATAAATTAAAAAAAAAAAAAGTGAATTGCACAATTATTTTGAAAATTAGTATTTTACAAAAACACAGAGAAAAATCTCAGACATGCTAAATTTCATATGTAAAAGAAATTTAGATGCTTTCTATACAGTTTCTACTGGAGGCTTTTGATATACTTTTAAAATTTATTATTAAAGCTAAAGGTATTTGAAAAAAAATTCAAAAACAAAAATTCAAAAGAATTTATTGATACATATCTATAAATGTGTATGTATATAGCAAGAGCTATACTCAAAAAAACAATTTAAAAAAAAGTGATACTCAAAAAACAATTGGGGCAATAGCGCCAACTCTAGTTAATAAATTTTTTTTAAAAAAAACTTTTTACTATTTTCTAATAAAATTATAAACATTAACGAAATGTGTGTGTATTAAAAAATCATATATATATATATATATATATATATATATATATATATATATATATATATATATATATATATATATATATACATGCACACATACAAACACATTAGTTGTTCATTCATATAATTTTAAAACAAAAAAAATATAAGAACAGCTGACTTTTTTGAAGTATGGTTTCTAAATTAAACATGTCATAGTTTGAACAAAAGTTGATTTTTTTATTCAAATAACTTATATATTTTACTGACACAGTTATGAAAAAATATTAATATATAAAACATTTTAAGATTGTATATTTATAAGCTGGTTATATATTATTTACTACGCAAATAATGTATATTGGTTTATAGTAAAATTCTTATAACACTTTGACTTCTAAGAGTGCTTTGCCCGCATAATTAAATAACACAATAAAACATCAAGGTCAAAAACTAAACATACACATAGTTTAAAAGCTTCTGTACATACATAAACAACTAAAAGTAGACTTGGGATTAGGAAGGTTAGATAAAAATATTGATCAAATTAATTTGAAAATAAAACATTAAGCTGCTCACACTTTAGATAAAACTAATTCAAAATATTTAAATTCAGAAAAATATGGTTTCTGTGAAAGTTTATATTGTAAACTTCGTTATGTTGTATTTTTAATCACAGTAATGTTTAAAGCACTTCATATTTTCACATTTAGATTTTGTTTTTGTAATTCAAATTAATTTTAACATTAACTTTAAAGAATTTTTATAATTTTTTGAACTAAAACTACACTAATACTCAACTAAAATACAAAGTCTTTTTAAATATAACTTTAACAAGCGTTAAAAAATATAAATCAATTTTGACTTTGATTTATAGATTAGTTAATATGTAAGTATGAGTACAAAAGTTTAATTTCACAATGATTTTAACTAAAAATAATAAATACTTTGAATGAAATGATAAAAAAAATAAATGTAATGTAATGATAAAAATAAATGTAAATAAAAATACTATTATATATAAAAAACTGCTATATAATATATAGGTTCTATTATTTTAGTTACGCAGTCATATATTTTTATCATATCATCAAGACAAAACAATTTGAAAAATAAAATAGCACAATGCAAAAACAAAAACAAAAAAAATAAATAAAAAAAAAAATAAATAAAAATAAAAAAAACATACATATATACACACACACAAATAAATACGCACATAGAATTATACACACATAGAATTACATCATTAGAAACATTTCACGAACAAACAATTTTAAATCAATGAAAAATAAAAATTTTAATTAAAATATACCTTGTACTAAATCTACTTTTTAACTTTGATAACCATGGCGTCCGATTTTGATGAGGAGTACTGTTTGTATCTTGACTACGTTCTTCTGGTGGACGTATTTTTTTTTGGCCAGATGTAGGGTGATAAGTGCTTCTTAATTTATTATTGCGACTGATATCTATTGGACCAGTTGGGGCTGTTCTACAAAGCAAGTCTTTAAATTTATTAATAATTTACAATAAAACTTTACTATGATATAGTTTTTTATAAAATGTACTCAAAAATTTAAAAGTTTATATAGTGAACCTACGTTGGCCTATTTACATCATTCTTTTGAGGGAGTCTTGCAGGAGATAAACGATTATCACTTGCAGTTTTTGGCTTTGACTTTAAAGGACTGCCATCACTTTAAAATGATAAAAATTATAAGAAATAATAAAAAACTTTTATGTATTTAATAAACCATTTTCCAAATAATTATCATACATATATAATATAAAGCACTGCTGCATTTCGCAAGCCTCTAAACACATTGATATAAAGCATGCAACCTGATTGGCTATTACAATTTTTTATCTACCAGATAACATGCTTAAACTAAACATTTCATGAATGAACGTTGCAATGTATTGCATATCAGGTGAGGAACTAAAGAAGGATAAAAAGTCAGAAAATCAGGATTAATCTTTATAACTATATTTGGATAACTCTTGGGTTTTAAAACAATGCAATGAACTGAGTAAATATAAATGATTTGTTATTTTCAAATTAAAAAAAGTTATATTTCAAATTAATAAAATTGTAGTTTCACATTAAAAAGTTAAATTAAAGAAAATTTTTAATTAAAAGTAATCAAAATAATTTTGTGAAATTTTTTGAAAAATTCATATACAAACAGGTCAAAAATGTAATACTGCAAATATTTAATGAAACATATTTATTAAAGTAATATATTTTCTAGGAAACATAGAAAAACATTAAAAAAAAAAAGTTAAAACAAAAAAAAAAGGTTTTCATTGAAGTTTACAAAAAAAATCTTTCATTAAAATTAAATGAAAATTCTTAAAAACTCTTTGAGATACTTAAATTTGAATATTACTTACTTTCCCAAAATATCAGATTTATCACCATTGGTACTTTGATGAGTAGAAGCTCGTGCACTGATTCTCTCGGGTGCATAATTTGTTCTTCTGGCAGCAGCAGAAGATGGAGCACTTTTCTGCTAAAAATTATCAATCAACCATGTTTATAAAAAGATTTAAATGCATAGAATGAAGAAAAATTATTTAAAACTATAAAATATTATCTATAAGAAAAGCCACAATTGAATGACAGTGGGATTAATTTTAAAAATTGAACTAATATATTCAAAAAAATTAAAAAAAAATTATGTGTATATGAACGACATATTTACCCTAATACATATTTTTTCTGAATTTAAATGACATATTTATAATACATATTTACCCTTTGAATTGCATTGCGTTTTTTTTCACCCTCAAGATCTGGAATATTAGATTGATTAGGATTTCTAGCTGAAGTTACACAAGGCACTTCTCTGTTGGAGCTTTGTATTGATAAACGATCATTATTTGAAGAAAAAACTTTTTCTGTGTTTGAAGGTATTCTAAAAAGATTATTACAAAAATAATTCTTAGCATTGAGATTAAAATATCTTTTTTTTCAAATAGTGAATCATACCTTTCAATTGGTTTTTGTTCATTTTTATTTGCTTTATTATTTTGATTATGCCGGGTTTTGTTTATTGCATTTTCGTTTCTCAAAAATGTTGCATCAATTGTGATCGAGTCATTACTTGTTAACCTATTTTCATCCAATAATAAGTATGTTGCCATGACTTCATCATATTTATTTGATTTAAGAGCTTCAGTTATTTCATCCATTGTGAAACCCATTTTAACCATAACATCTAAAGCAGAATTTAATTTTTTTAAAGAAATTTTAAAGTTTATTTAGACCATTAACTTTAATAGTTTAATAGAAAAAATCTGAAAATAGAAAAAATCACAAAGAGAGTACTAATTATTTTATACAAGAAAGTGTTTTTTTAATTAATAACATGAAAAATGGTTTCAAGACAAAGAAATATTTGACACATTCTGTTGCTTTATCAAAAAAAAAAAAAAAAAAAATTAAATGCACACATTCACAAAAAAATCTGTTGGTTATTTAAAACAATAGGGTTTACTATTAAGAGCACTTATACCTAATCTTCTTTGATCATTGAGATCTGGTTTGGGTTCAATATATGGTTTTAACTCTTCACTTTCATACCCAATATTCATCCATTTATCTGTCATAATAACCTGCAGTAAATTTAAAATGGTAATACTTCAATAACTTGTTATTTAAATATGCTGTTAAAATGTTGAAAATTAATTAGTAAATTTAAAATAACAGAAAAATAGTTTGAAATTTATGTATTTATTGGTTTACTTAGCTAACTCAGTTGCCTTCATGCATTTGTTATAAATATTATTTGAACTGTTATAAATATTTTGCAAAAATAAAGTTTTTGATAGTGATAAATTTAACACATAAAATTAATATCTATACTTTAATTTAAAATAACTTAACTGAATAGCTCAGTGCTAGATTCATACTAAAAGTCTCAATCAATAATTTTTCAAAAAAATATTTTGAGGGAGTTTAGATATATATAACCCATATTAACAAGAATAAACATACCTGACAATGTTATCAAGTATAAACATATTTGATAAAGAGGGTCTAATCTAAATTCTTTTAGTATATAGTATTGAAAATATAATAACAGAGTTATATCTATTCTATCAACACCCATCTAATTACCTTATCTTATTTAACTCATTTTTTTAAAAAATAAATCATTTATACCCAACACGATTTTCGAATAACAATTAAATGTAACCAAAAACAAATTATTGTGCCCATAAGTTCTCAATCACAATCAGAGATACTAAATTATATTAATATATTGCGGTAGTTTAAAAAAGTTAATGTTCATAAATAAAATAATAAAGTTTTATGACATCAAAATCACGACGAGCTAATGCGCTAATTTTATTTAAAACAAGGCGTGCAATTCTTAAAAAAATTAAAAGCAATTCTTAAAAAAATATTTGATAATTTAAGATATTAAGTTTAATATAAATAAACATAAATTCAGGCTGAAAATTTTCTAAAAATAAGAAACTATTGTTCCTCCTCCTACTAAAATTTTATTTTTTACTTCTTTTATTTTTTCGGATAACTTGCAAATTTATAAAATAAACTTTAAGACTTAATGGCTTTGATAGTATGAAATGCTGATAGTCAAAATCACACTATAAGACAGAAATCTAACAAACAGGCTAAAATAAATTTTTTTTAATACTAAATTTTTATTTGGAAAAAGTGTCAACTATTTGTTTGCTGTTTAAAATAATATTTAAATGTTAAAAATATGCAGTACATTTGAGATTATTTTTGACATACAAAATCAGCTAAGTTTCTTATGAGTTTTAGGGGGTTAAGATTTACTGTTAAGCCTCTGTTACAGTATATAAACCACAAAATAACTTGCCTCCGTAAAATTCAGCTTTAAACAAAGCTCTCAGATACCAAAGTTAAAGAGAAAGATGATCAAACCCAAATTTTAATATCCACATGTAAAAGTTTTGTTATTATATCAAAGTCAAATTACTTCAGTAAATGCCGTTAATTATCCAGAGAAATTAGATACTGCTGTACTTTATTATTTAAAATTTTTATAGTAAACCTAAATTGTCAACTTGCAACTAGAATAATAACACCAGGTTCAATATTTAATTGTAAAAAATTTGCAGTTATCACCAACAAAGATTAAGGAAGCTTTTTATCTAGATTCAAAACAGTTGATGAAAAACCTTGTTATGTAAAAATGGATCATATATTTTTTATGACTGTTTATCTTTTGAAGTCCAAAAGGACTTCAGCTCTAATTTTTTATAAACTCTGATGTCCAGGAAATTTAAAATCTAAATTTAGAATCTAAAAAGGTGACTTATGATCTGCACTAAAAAAAAAAAAAAAAAAAAAAATTCATGAAAATTTAATGACTTCAAACCTATTGTTTTTAAGCTTGGAGTCCTAGTCACCATTATAAATAAAGACTGCAGATTTAAAAATTGAATTGAACTTACCTAAAAGTCTTAATTTTTTTTAATTTATTTTAAATAAAGAATGTCAAACACTTGCAAACATTTTTTTTAGAGAAATTTGCAAGGGGGTATTCTAGACTCTTTTCAATGGCATTGAAGGCAATAGGATACCACCAAATTTCTAATATAAATTACTTAACATTATATATACACACACACATATGTATATATAAACTTTTTAAATTTGTGTTTCCATAAATTGTTTTTTTTATTCTAAAATTTTTTATAAAATTTCACTTCTTTTGAGACCCAACATAATATACCTTTGAAGAACTTTTTTTTTCAAAATATTAGGGACCCATTTGATTTTTAAGGGTCTTGAGCAACCCCTAAAATTTTCTTTTATTCAAATTTTTTTTAAATTTAGTATTAACTTATTACATAGAACACATTTTGGGGGTGGCAGCAGACAATTTCAAAAAAAGTTTTTTTTAGAGGCACTCTAATAAATTTGCATAAATTACAACAATTCATTAAATAAACTGATTTTAGTAAACCCTTTATGGCCCAAAATAAACCTCTGTTAAGGTAAGGTTTACTAAAAGAACTTTGTAATTTATTTATTTGTGCTATATTAACCTAGAAATATAGCACAAAAAAACCTTCAAATTTCTTTTAAAATCTTGAAATTTGAAATTTTTTAAAAAGAGATTTCAAACTTCATAAAAAAAACTTTTGTTTAAAAAATATGACCCTTCAAAGTTATTTCAGGGGGAAAAGGAGGGGAATAATAAACTTACCTTATCTTAAACAAAAATGATGTTTTTGATGAAATTTGTGGACGAATTTTGATTTATTTTTGAAAAAACTTAAGAAAATTTGTATGATTTTATTTACAAAAAATGTTTTTTACATTTTTTTAATGAAGATTACCAAAAACAAACAAAAAAATTTGGAAGGTTGTGTTGCAAAATTTTAGAGCTATAATAACTATGCAGATTAACAACAACAAATATTACAAAAAAATTTAAAAACTTAATTTAATTTATAAACTTAATTTAACTAAGGAATTAAAAAAATAAAATAATACAATATATTAAGTAAACTTACATCTAAAGGTGCTCTTTTTTCTGGATTTAAAACTAAAAACTTCTTTAACAATGCTTCACAATCTAAAAAAAAAAAAAAGAACTTTGTTTAAAAGCAATTTTATTTGAAAATTAACTCAATAAATGTAGTTATTAGAAACCATAGCTTAGTGGGAATTGGAGGGATTATCTTGAACACTACAAAAACATGCTCACAACCCTGTATTTAGATTTTCAAAAATGAAATTGGAAACTGAAATTGTATTGAAATAATGTGATTTGACTACAATATCATTTGTAATAATTTAGTAATATTTGAGATTATCACAGATAAGTTTTTTCTGGGAATTTCCAGAAATCTGGAAATTCGCATAAAATTCTTTTAGCTTTTCTTACAATTTCCGAGTGTTTTTTGCTACTGATTTGTAAAAAAAATTAACTTTTTCAAAAAAACTATTAGTTTTTTGACAAATCAATAGCAAAAAACACTCAGAAATATTCAGAAACTTTAAAGGAAATTAAAGTGAATTTCTGGAATTCCAAAAATTCATGGAAAAAACTCATTTTTGGATAATAAAAACTCAAAGTTATCTTTTTTAACACTAATGAAGAAAAAATCTATTTAAAAACAACACAAAAAGATCATGTAATTTGAAAATTAGATACCTTTATTGGAAACAATTAGATACCTTTATTGGAAAGAGTATTACACAAGTTAAAATATCAACTTATACACTCATTTTTTGAAAAGTTTAAAAAGTTAAAGATAAATTCAACATGTTGTTTAGCTATACATAAATAGCTATATATAAATAGGAAATACATGTAGTTATAAGAAAACTACATAGAAATACTGGTTCTTGCTATAGTATCCTGAAAATAGTGACATAAAAGCCTAAATATTTAGAGTGATTATATATTAATTCAATGACCTAAATATTTTAAATGATGAATATCTAAATATTAAAAGGACAAGTAATGTTCTTATCATAAATAAAGCTTAGAAAATAAGTTTAGAGTTCAACTTATCAAAACAAATTATTTATCAAGATATTAACACAAAAAAATTTCATTTTTAAGGCTGTATTCATAGATGAGTATTTGACTTTATAAAAAATCCATAAATTTTTTTTTATGAAAATCTCGGAAAATTATTTTATTAAAAATTGATCATATTAACCCTTTGTTTACCGATGGTACTTATAAGTACCACCTTAAAGAAACCTCTATACTTTTCAATCTATAGATTTTTTCTGGGTAAAACATGTTGGAACTTTTTAGATTATTTTTAAGCTTTCGGAAAAAGCCAAGTTTTTGATGACTCTGCAAATATTTCTTTATTTGTATTGAAAATGGCAGAGTAGTGTAGTGTTGTTTAGCGTTACTTTGAACTTGAGTTTTATAAGAAGTTTTTTTGTAACTTAAACATTGTTTTTTGACTTCATAGTTTTGTCTAATGTTTTTTATATGTTTTAATAACAATTTTTGTTAAAACAATGAGAAAATTCATGTCTATTTTATGTGAGAGAGCCTTTTTGTGAATTGACTCAAAAGTACTGTTATGTTATATGTAGGGTTTATTTTTATTAGCATAAATAAATATGCTAACCTACACCTCTGCTCAAGTAGCGCATATTATCACTAACAATTTACCTCTTCCTCATGAAGTTGAGACTGATAATGAAGAGTTATTTCAGACATTAAGGATGTAACAGTTGCTGCACCCTTGGATCAATATCAGTATAATGACAATGATGTAGATAATTTAGATGATGATAACCTTGTAGATTTCCAACAAAACAGTCTTTCTATAGTGGCATCTGCTTCAAATATTTTGACACCTTCATTTTCTAATCAAAAGCAATGCTACGATCAGAATAGGCAGTGGATTAGAAAATATGCTCCTCTAGAAACCTACAATTTCGAATGTCCACAAGGAATATAAATTTTAGTAAAGTTTTTTAGATTATATTATTATTTAGTAATAATAGATTTTGTAATAATAAGGACCTTAAAAGTATAAATAGGTTATAATTATTTTGTAATAATAAGGACCTTAAAAGTATAAATAGGTTGTTATCCTATTTATACTTTTAAGGTCTTGTTCATAATCACTTTGCAAATGCTTATTCCCCAATAGACTTCTTCCTAAAGTTTTTTGATAATGAAACTGTTGAGAATATCTTGTATCAAACAAATTTATACATCACGCAAAGATTTGTAAGAGTCAAATCTATTGATCATAAAGAATTCTTTGAAATGTCGTTAATTAAATTATTCTGTTCCTGGCTCAATAAGATTACAAAATGTTGGTGTCGACTTCCTTATTTATCAAGATGCAAGAGGACGATGCAAGAGTGTGTTCTACTATCAATATTTAATCTAGACCACATAGTAAATGTGATATTTGCAAGATTTTTTTAAACATTTAAAAAAAAATTTGAAGCCGTCTCTTCTCTTGCTACATTTAATCATTTTATAATTTATAATTAATTTTATCTAACGTCTAATTTCAAGATTGAGTAATAAATACTATTAAAAAAAACAAGGAGAAAAGTTCCTTTATTTTAAAAAATATATATATTAATTTATGTTAGGGCAGTCCTCTAAAAAATTAAAACAAGTTTGTTGGTTTGTCTAATAATTTAAGTTAATATAAACCTTGTCTTTGTCTTAAATATACAAAGTTCTTGTAATTAGAAGTTCAAGTTTTCTAAGAAATAGAAAACTTTAGAATTTCAAAAAAATCTGAGTTACGCATGATGGTACTCTAAAGTACCAAGTTTGTTTCTATGGGAACAATAATTTTAAACAACGAATTTTTTATAGAAACCATCTTTTATCTACTAGTATGTCTCAGAAAATTTAAATTGTTACTTTTTAAATTTTTTTTCGTGGTCTGGTAAACAAAGGGTTAAGTGAAAACAAAACTTTCATAAACTTTTAAAACGGAATTTAGATTTTTTAACTATTGTTAAGAAATTGTTACGAAAATTGATCTCATGAAAATTTTAACTATAGAAAACATTTGTTTAAATGCCCAAGTTGTCGTTTTTAAAATTTTATGTAAAAATATATAATTTTTTTTATCAAATTAATAACAAAAAACATCCAGAAATTTCTGAAAAATTAAAGTAGTTTTGAGTGAATTTCCGGAATTCCGGGAATTCCCGGAAAAAACTTATCTATGCGTATTGTTTTTCACAAAGGAAAGTTTCAGCTTGTTGATTTTTTTTACAAAAGAAATCTGTTCTGATTAAAGGTTTATCTTTGACATCATCAACAAATAACATGAGGTTACTAAAAATTTGCACAAAATTTGAAAGTTCGAAAGTGGCGAACAAATTTGCATATTTCTGCAGTTCGAAGTTAAATATATTCACTAGACATTCTTATTTCATAATCTGATACTGATTTGAGCAATTAAAATTATATAAATAAAATGGATGGAATTAATGAAAATGACAAACGAAAGCTTAATGGATTCTTCTATTTAGATAACATAGACAAAGGGAAAACATTTACAATGCATCATTTTATGCAAAAGTTGCAAGATGAACAATTTATAATATTATTAAAAAAGTTGACAACAATTTTGACCTTAAAAGAAAGTCGGGATGCGGCAGAAAACCGTACAAAATGGTCGTGACAAAAATTGCTTCACTCGTTAACAAGGCTGAAAATAAAGTTGGAATCTCCCAAATAAAACTTGCATTAAAATATGGAATTCATAGAAGTTATGTTTATAAAAATTTTGACATTCATAGACTTAAAGGGATCCCTAAGTGCTTGGCCTTGCGATAAAGCGTCGGGCGATGTGAATTTTACGTTGTCCAAGAGCAATTTTGCGTGTAGCTAGGGCTATTTGCGTTGAGCAAAAAAATTTTTGTTTGAGTATATTTAAAGATATTTTTGAGCGGAATTTTAATAAAGTAATTTATGATTATTTTAACATTTAATAAAGTATTTTAAAAACCGCACGCAGTTGAAATAAAAGTTTGAATTAAAAAAAATTAAATATGCTCATTATTTACAAGTAGAAAAAATTTAGATTAAAAAAAAAGTTTAAATCTTTTAAGCTAACATTTTAATAAAATTATTCAGCAATAGCAAAGTTGTTGATAAAATTGAACAAAAATACTTTCTTTTAGTTTTAAATTTTAAACTTAAATAATTATTTTACGGGGGTTTGTTAGGTTTTAAAATTATTCCATAGATTTAAAAATATTTATTAACTGTTAGACGTATTTACAGTATTTAAGAGTAATTTCGAGGAAACATTTTAAAAATTGGTGAGTGCAAATAAAAAAAAAAAAAAAGGATTTATATTAAAACGTATTCTACTTGATTCAATAAAAAAGTACAGTTATTAAAATTTTTGTAAAAAGTAACTCAAAAAAATTACTTAAATAATAACAATCGCTTTTATGTTAAAAGTTACCGAAACTCAACGAAGCGTGCTCAAGAACAGCTGCTGAAAAATAAAACTTCAATAGTTTTTTGAATAATTTTTAATAATAATTTTTAAGAATATTTTTTTCGCTGAAATATTTCTTTTATACCTATAAGATTTTTATTCTAACATTTTATTTTATTTTGCTAGAAATAAAATTCCTTGTTAACATTAAAAATCTATTCAAAACGTTTAAGTTTTTTATTAATACGAGTGATTGTGCTTATCAACCACTTTATGAAAATAAATAAAAATAAATAAATATTATATAAAATCGCTTGTAAAAATATTAACTATTGCACAGTTTTTAATCGTACAATATTAAAATTTCCAGTTTATTACTCGCTGACTTTTTAAAAAGAAAAAATAATTATTTGAAAAACTTTAAATTACATATTTAAGAAAAAAAAAATCAAATATTAGCATATTTTATAATCTTTTTTAAATTTAAGTTATGTTTTTTATTCGTTTAGTATAGACAAAATGTGACAAACGTCGAGAAAATAAACAAATGTTTTTACATTTTAAAAAACGAAACATTCCAAAACATTTTTAAATAATAACATTTCTACATAAACGATTTGAAGTAGTTTTGCAGTAATTAAGTAAATTGGTACAGTTAATGTCGATA